CGTGGTTACTATGTTTAACGACTTAATTACAACCTCTTGCTTTACAGATGTTATAAAATACTATTCGCGTAGTAGTAGAAGATAAAGCTGGAGAAATTGCTGCATATAATTTTACTTTCTTGTCATTAGTCATAAGGTGCAACCAACATTTCATTCAACGATTATTGCGTGGAGTTAAGGAGCAAAGAAGAGTAAACGCACTTATTGACATGTATCGTAATAGTTAGACCTAACAACTTTTAAAAAATCAGGGCAAATGAGTATACCATTTTGAAAGTGATGACGTGTTGAAAAGCAAAGTAACAATTGGGTCTCGAACGTTTAAGACACACTGGCTCAACAAGATGAGTGGGGGCCAGTGGACCCTCCCACGGGAATTTCTCCTTTTATTTTAAATATGCTCTCTTGCATTCTGAAGCGCCTCTGTACGTCAATTTAATGTCTGCTTATGGAGGATTTAAAGATTGCTTAGTTTTATTATTATTTTACACTTATGTACTTTTTTTTTTAATTTTGAATTGGGGTGGGGACCCCTTAGGGGTGAGGTTCAACTAGTCCCTACGGGTTGTGAACATTTTTAATTTTCTTTAAAGAAAGCCAGTAAATTTCTGAAATATTTGAGGAAAACTCTTTCTTGTTAAATTTATGAGTCAGAGTACTAAATGGAAGCCATAAATCGGAACATTTCATTCAAATTGTTTTGTAGTAAAATAGGCATCAAGTCCACATTAGATAATTTCACTCACTTTAGCCCGATATCTGGTTAGAATCGACATAAAATTGACAATAAAATTTTGATGAGGTACGAGCTGTGTGTCTTTAACGAGAAAATTAAAATTGATTCGAGACAAGATTGTCAAAAGTTGGAAGAAAATTTGAAAGGAATTTTTATGATAAACCTCATTTTATATAACGCATACTTGTGTGATAAGATGTATGATCATTTGTGATTTTGAGTTCCTTTCATTTTGGTCTCAATTAAAGATAGATTTAAGCCGCGTAATAATCAATACAATCAGAAATACAAGAAGTGAACACACGATGTACCGGTCCGGATACGGTGCGGACACGATTCGTTTCTTCTTTTTTCTACTGTATCGATAATCCCACTCCGTATACACCGCAGCGGTCATAGTACCTCGCCTATTCGCATCGTAACGATTTGAGCTGCGAGGGTATATGGCATCAGGTGCGGTGTATATTGTTAGATCATCGATAAAGTAGAAAAAAGTAGAGGCAAATACGACCTGTATACCGTGTATTCACTTCGACCACATCGGATACCGTGCCCCTTCTTTACGTATTACGTGGTTTTGTTCTTGTCTGTTAGGTATTCTACGTATTCCATGTATTCCATAACAGCACAATATAATATTGTAGAAAACGCAACATGTAATGGGGCTATGACAACTCTGACAATATTGTACTTCGGTGGTAATTCTAGATATGTGAAAGAAAATGTAGAAAAATCCACGCTTTCAATTTGTTCTTTTTCTTTTAAACTAAAGAATCAATACGATTGTGGTGCAGCACTTTGTTTGAATGTATCTGCATCTGGTTTGACGGAATTTAAATGGGAAACGTCAAAGTCGTAGAATGAATTTGTTTTAGTTTGTCTTTTAAACTCAATCGTATTCGATCAACTGAGAACGTCTTTGTGCATTTTAGAACAGATACCACACGTGCCAAAATAATAAAAATAAAATCATCAAATAAATTAAATGATGAAGCACCTTAAGCAGGGAAAACTCTATTGTCCTGGTCAGACGTAAAGTGACCGGCGGTCAAGATAATATTGAATCTACTATTGTTCTGGAAAGTTAACAGAAGGCTTAGGGAGACAAGGAAATGCATATTTCACACGAAGTTGAAAGTGCAGTAAACACGCAGCGTTAAAATCAATTGAAGGATGATTATCTGCAAACAAAATTTGTGTTTTCACACGTGCGTCTTTATATATTTAAAGAAAGGTTTTATAATTCTTAAGGGAGAATTATACAGAACAATGTGTAGGAATAAATTTAAAGATCATTGTATATAAAAAATAATCAATTTTGAATACTTTAATGGATACATTCAACTAACGTCGCTTTAACAGCGATCAAAGGTTCGAATCCTCTTTAAATGAAATGAAATGAATGGAGTTTTGCGTCCTACATTTCTGCACCATGTGGGCTAATGAAGACAGGCAACACCATACAGGGAGCAATGAGGGAAATTTTGCCAGGACAGAGGCATTAGCATGCTCTTTTTCTATTTCCAACTGTCGAGGGATTGTTAACGTGCACAGTCTGTAGCACACGGGACCTCGGTTTATTGTGCCATCCGAACGACTAGACGCTTTTTCCATGTCAGCCCCCCTTACCTGCATCACTGACAGGAGGAAACGGGGTTGAAAGAATACACTTTAAGACAAGAAAGCTTTTATATATTCATGTACTGGTCAGTGTTTTCGAGAGTTTCTCATATAACAGCTCTCAACTCCTTCATAAATTTCGTAGACCTTTTGTGAAGTAAAACTCGACGAAAAATTTATTACACGATTTTTCACAATTGAATTAGTATAAATTTTCCAGAGCTTTTATGATTTGTGAAAAAAAATCAACTATCGTCACCTCCGTAAACAATTCCGCTTCTATCGAATTTTATTTTTAAAATTACTTTAACTAAATTCGGTTGAGAAAGGAAAAGAAAGAGAATTTTGTAAGAAAAGCAATTTATTCCTAGTTCTTCTTCGATAATGTTTTATATGCTGGAGGCATGTTCTAAGTAATTTCATTTCATTATTTGTAATTTTCAAGAAATTTAATTTGTTCCATTGTTTTTGAGGTGGGAATATTTCACGATTATCAGAATAATGACTTCCTTGTGGTGTCATATTCACTTTAATAATACATGTAATACTAAATTGAACACAGATTTGATACAGAGGCCTAGTGTTGTTTTTATCTTCTGCTTTTTTAGACGAGGGGAGGGGAAGGGAGAGATGGGGTTTGTCTAGCCCATTGCTCACCATTGTGTATATATACTTATGGTTTTGTATCACACTGTATATGATAACTGATCTATTTCTACGTATGAATTTTTTTTTGATTCTGTGTGTTCTATCAGGTTCTCACTTTCTGCGTATTCCAGAGCAGCTTTACATACATTTTGAAAATATCAAAACACTTATCGGAGCCTTTTTTTTCAATTGCTAACCACTGTGTTTTGTTTCATTGGTTTTTAAGTGCTTTTAACTAGAGCTCAAAATCATATCACCTAATATTACCTATATCGCCTAGTCACGTAAGTTGATCATAACCTCACTTAAATCTTCGCACGGCAAGGTAATTAAAATCCATGTTTTAATTAGATTATCATAATGTATATTATCTTTTCTTTTTACACTTATTGCAATATCACTTTTATTCTCTGATGTAATACCCAAGAATGGGACCTAACGTTGAGTATCTCACTGCAGACAATCATATGTAGGTCTTATGACCAAAATGTTAATTAATAATGTACTTTAGACCCAATTGTATTGTCTGTAATCCTCGTGTTTTTCTCCAATTTAATCAATGTACATGAGAATATTCAATCATTATTGAAGGTGAACTTCTCAGACTGGGCTATAACTAATATATCTATTTTCTATAATATCTCATGTTTTTCTACTCAGTTACAATCAGGGGGAATCGGAAATAGATTCAATTTTTATTTCTTATTGGAAAACGATTTCCCATAGACTGAGAGTAGTAACCATTTATTTAAAGAGTTCTTTACGGATATAAATATGAATGTTTTTTAGCCGATCGATATAACATAGTAATTGTTATTGTTAGTCGGATTTCGAAAATTTTGCTATAAGCTACCATATCGTGAATATTGATGCAGGAGTATTATTCGGCGATTTGCTACTGAAATTATTTTATATTTCGAACGCCAGTTTTCATTAACCCGCACTGAAGCAAAAACGAATGGTTCTTCCTACTGCTTAATTGAAGCGAATGGGACATAAGCAACTACATTATGCATCGCAAGCTAACAATTGATGCAGTGACTAATTGACGTCACCAAATTCAAACCATAAACCTTATCGTATTTGTAATGTTGCATCAAGTCTGTAATGCCAAGATACAAGACGCTTACAAGTTTTTCTTTCTCTGATCAAATTCTATTATGTCATATTATCCTCGATAATTAAGTTTCGTGAGGCTTCATGCTTATAATACGATAGATATGAGCATCTACTCTTCCCCCCCCGCAAACGAGCCTCTTTCAAATATTGATATGAAATTACAATATTATGGTTTCAAACTCTACAATTCGAGGGGGTCCCTATATGGGTTTTTATTAATATGTAAAAGATTAAGTATCGTCTCGAGTGTCCCCTCTTATAAAACAATTTAAACTACATTAATATATTCATAACATTTCATAGAAATGGGTAGATGCAATTACCTTCGTAAAGATAATGCACCTTCAATTCAGATGTTTGTAAAAAGGTATTTTATTTGGATCTTCTTTTGGTCTTACTGTAACTTAGTTAGGATGAACAGTGGTGTATTTAGATCGGCTTCTGGCACCCCCCCCCCCCTCCCCTCCCCGGCCGCCTAAAGGGGCTAAAGGTCTCGCCTCAGAGAGACACCTCATCTGGGCCCCGCCGTTACCCCTCTCCCCTCGGACATTTTCTACGTCCCAGAGGATACGTGTGGGTTGTACATAATGCACCCATGCACCCAATCTGATGTACGGACAAACGTTCAAGAGCAGAAAATCATATATATAGTCCCCTTTCTGTACTACACAATCTTTGCTATCTGTAATTCACTTCTCAGAAAAAAATAAAGCAGAAATAAGACATTGAGACGCTGCTGAGTTAATGACCTCCTTTCATAAACGTGTGCAAAAGAAATGAGTGCAGAAAGTTTTCTTTTCAGTCACACAGCGATGAACTTTATGAATTTTCTGCGTAGTTAAAGGTTCGATTACATTAAAAGATACTACCTGTTAGAATGGACATAAAATCTCAAGTCTCAAACTTGGTTAACACGAGTATGTATTCATCGGTTTGACTTACCAGGTGCCATGAGTAAAGAATAGAGTCTCTATATATAAGACGATACACCCATTAAACCAAATTGGTTTGAGACACGCTTCTAAGCATGTTCAGCGTCATTACCAGTGGCACAGTCTAAGAAGTTTGTGTATTTATCCACCATTTTAATTACTAATGTGCATATCATCTTTGTATATTTCAGAAAAATCTAATCCATCCGTCCAGCTTCTAGAACCCCGGTTTTTATCAGTGGCTACCAATATAACAGTACGAGAAGGGTCTCTAGCAGAATTACCGTGCTCTGTATTAAATCTTGGTACAAAACAGGTAAGATATTCTTTTCTCCCTTCTTCATTTGTATTAACATTTCGTCTAAACAATCTGAACTCAATGCTAAGTGCGACCTAGTAGATCGTCATATTAAAATAATTTTAAAACCAGAATGAAGACAAAATGTTTATCGTTATACCATAAAAAATAATTCGGGACTTCCGTTAGGGATAAACCCCAGTCGCAGAGTGATATCAGGTGACCCGGGAATGTAGTCAGTAAAATAATGTGGCATGGGGTGAAAAGTATAGCTCCTCAGGGATATCGAGCATCCCTTTTTCGTCAAGAGTAATGTTTCTCGGGGGGGTCAGCTATAGTGGTTTCAATGAGGTATATGCCTCCTTTCTGTCAAGGGAGCACCATTACACACAAGCTGTGTCTAGAGAGATGAAAAGGCAACAAACCTTTTATATCAAGCACTGCATGCCCTTATCATCAATATAATAAAACCAACAAAACGTGTGGTCATAGAAATAGTTTGTAAAACATTTCTAAAATTGCTCGTTTGATTGACATGAAAAAACTTAACTTTCCCAAGATTTGTTTAACAGACGTCTAAAGTTTCTTTAATCAAAGATTTCAATGTTATCAAATTATTTCTACATGAATAAACCCAGGAAGAAATTTGCTTTAAAATTTGGCCGAGAAGTACAAATAGAATTAAACAGAACGATGTTTATGAAATAGAGTAGAATGATTTTGCCGTCTGGTTTTTCTCGTGTATTAGTTAATTCCATGTCTGCTAAGCGTCCATATTTTTTTTATTAATAATTATCAAATGAATGATAGAAACCTGATTATATTTGACATGATAATAAATGAAACAGATTAGTCAAACCAGTCATTATGAGTACTGTATATACAAAACATCTTTCATGGCATCAACTTGGATTTGTTACCCTTCAGTTTACGCGTATAAACACGTCAAAAGGATCATCTCAACCAAATTATAGCTTATTTCAACTACTTATCACACGAAAATATATATACTCATACACTAATGAATAAAACTACATGATAGGTCATCGTATTAAACCTGCTATAGGGGACAATATTTCCCAAAAGTTCGATACAACATCAACAATTGAAAAGGCAAAAGCCATAAAATAAACATAAGTAAATTTTTATTCGTTTGAAAGATATCGAAATCGGAAGGATGCTTTCGTTACTACTGGTAACATTCGGTAACTGTGTCGAATTAGTATTTTCATATTGTCAATCAGTTTCCCTTTGCACGCCATACAATAATTGTTAATCACTGGCATTGGCAGTTACCGGCTTTTCTGTGACCAAGCTATTATTCGATCGGATGGCCATTGTGCATGATCCGGGTGGATGGCAGTAGCATATGTCCTAATGAATCTTCATGATTACGAAGAACTGATCTGTGGCAAAACGGTTGGTATATAGGCAACACCAGCTAACTTATTCAATAACAGTGTTCGATGAACATGATCTGGTTGGTTTATGATAATAACAACAGCAGCAAAAACTAAATCTACATACGGCAGGATGGACTGTATTGTGACTGTAATGAGTGGTCTTATGGCAGCGCCTTGTCAACTGTCTTGCGAAATCGATCTGGTTGTTCTATGGTAATACCGGTTTTCTATTGGAGTGAACTGTAACATACGCACACGGCAAGGAGGATTGCATATGTGACAAAGAATGAGTGCTTTTTGGCAGTTAGTACCTTGTCAACTGTAATAATCGTTTGAAATGAGCTTAAAAGTACCTCATCAATAAAACATAAAATGTTATCTAGATTTAATATTTGATCAAACTTCTGCCTGATGATGGTTAATGTGATTACATTTGTGTTCCAAGTCAATTAGAGACGTTAAAAACTAGACTTGTTTGTGGTTTGTTAATGACTGTATATAATTGAAGTTAAAAGCGATTATAGGCATTGATAGAATCCCAGATTTTTTATTGTTTGTGTGTAAAGAGCATGGTAAATCATGGTAAATGTTTGACTACACATAATGAATTATTTGCTATGTTTTATGTATAGAAGTACTTTACAACCTTTATTGTATTATGTACAACTACTTCAAACTATTATAAACGCCAAAGCTTTCTTGATATTGTCTGGTAGATTTTTAACTTATTTAGAAATCTTTACTTTACATTTAATCTATACTCTTGCTCTTGCTCAATAACACCAGGCCCGTGATTCAGCATCTTCACAATATCAAGCTACTTATACCCGGATGCAAAAGGCCACTATTCTTATATCACAGATTGTAACTGTATGGTTATTCAGATATATATCGCTTTTGGATTTGGATTGTGTCTAATGCACCGTGGCACGACTGAAACAAGCAAATGCCTATTCATCCGCACCGTAGAGAAGAGATAATACGCACTCCCACTTGATAGTTGGCTATACACATAAAAAATACCACCATGTGTACGCTAAAGAAACAGTTTCACATTGCCAGGAGCACTTTTTTTTAAAAAGATATATCGGCTTATATTTATTTTATGTAAATGATTCCATCAATCCTGATATTTTGTATGTCTTTAAACGCCCACAATTTATCTGTTGGTACTTTTTCATTCCATTTTCATTTTGGGTTGACATTCAGTTAAACTCATTATGGTTCAGAGGTCTGGGGTACACTTGATACAAGTACATTCAATATGCAACTGTATTGCAGTATATATCAGAAAATAACGGATTATTCTACTTGTGGAGTGCTCAGTTGCTCGCTCTGACCTATGACTTTCGGCTTTTCATAAATTTGTGCAAAATAAAGTTAATACAGAAAGGATTCTTTTCAGTCACACAGCGCTTAACTTTATGAATTTTCTGCGTAGTTAAAGGTTCGATAACATTAAAAGATACTACCTGTTAGAATGGACATAAAATCTCAAGTCTCAAACTTGGTCAACACGAGTATATATTCATCAGTTGGGCTTACTGAATACTGTTTCATCCTATAAGAAAAGTAATAAAGCTTTTGTCCTTTGTTCTTTGATGAATTCAGTTCAGAAAAACACTGAGGCTTTAAACGCAGGATAATAGAAGAACAATTGGCAGAGGAAAATAAAGCGATCAATCAAGAGAAACTATGCAACCAATTTTGTTGGAATGTTACGCCTGTTTAAAAAGCAATGAAGGTAGATTATTAACTTGTGTTCATTGTAAACCATACACCGATATTCCATCAAAAAATACTGACATAAAACATTACTTCAACACTTCTTCGTTTCACTCATTCCAACGCACTTTTTATATTCTAGCCATTAATCATTTTTATCTATACACAGTTATTCGCCCTTAGGGAGGCCTCAATTCTAAAGCCATTTTTCTATATTTTTGTCTTTGAATATTATTGTACTTTATTTGTAGACCTAATTCTGGACTAAAACCATTTCTATTAAATAAAACACGCACAGATTTTATATCATTTTGTTAAAGAGATTTTTAAGAGAAGATTATTCCTATGGGTTAAAAATATTTTATGTCATTTTATCAAATTATTCCAATTGCCTTTTTCCTTTAAGTTTTCTCTCAGGGATTCACCAAAGTGCCCTACCCCAGGCGACAAGGCATCGAAATCATCTAGTAGAACCCAGTTGTGGCGCCAGCCTCATATTTTGGGACAAAAACGTGTTAAAATCTCTTTCTGGTCTAATTTGTGCCTCAATTAGAACTTAAATTATGCACCATCCAACTGTTCTTGCTGACATTGCAACATATATAGGACATAATCTACGAGAAAAAATTGAAAATCTCAATTTCACAATGAGAAGGTTGGAACATCAATATTTTGCTAACAATATTGACTATGAAGAACAAAGTAGCAATGGAATATGTATATTTTTAAAGTAAATACAGACTTAGGTTTAATCAATGGAATATCTGTCAACTCAAGATTAAAGTCAATACTTAATTTTTTACGATATTCTGACTTTTATTAAATGAAATTATTGAAGATCTCTTCACTCGCTTCAAGTGGAAGGCACTGTACTGTAGACTACGGGTGAAATACCGAGACTTCCGTTATGTAATTTGTTACACAGATTTTCTCAATGTTAATAACCTTTAAGATATTTGTATACATAAGGATAAGTTTAAGATATAGAATAAGTCAGAATTGAAGTAGTGGCTTATAGTAATAAAAATTCTTACAAGCACAACAATTTTAGTAACCCAGTCTCGTCCAAAGCATTACACAATCGAGAGCAATGATAATATTGTAGGGAAATCCTCATCGAGAAGTACCATCAGGTATTTCTAATTTGCCTTTCAGATAGATCAAAGATTGTAAATCCTGGAAAATTGTAAAAATTGTATCATTGTCCATTGTGATTCCCACTGTGGCTAAAACAGGAGAAGAAAGAGTGTATTTAATTGTTTGTAGTTGTAGCATCTAGAAGTATTAAATAACATTTTGTATTTCTTCTGAGAAAGATTTTTACACAACAAAAGTCGATGTACACGAAAAATAAATAATAATTCAAATCTACAAAATGGGAAAGTGACGGAATTACCTTGGCATCGATGGGCAAACAAGACTCTTCTCTGTTCATTCATTTGTAAAATGAAATAATATCCACCATTAATCTAATATTTTTCAATGTCAATCGAACACTGCATTTTGTAATTTTCATCTGTTACGATTTTTTTTGCTCTAGAGACTTTCTATGCATTGAAAGAAAAATACGAACGCTGCATTTTTTTTTTGCTCCGGAGATTTGCTGTGCAGAAGAGAAAGAACTTTTATTAACCCTCCCCGTCCATCATCCGTTGTAAATCAGTGATAAAGTGACATCAAATTTTGACTTGATTCAATTACCACCATTAGCTCGAGACTCCATTTTCTCCAAGTAAGAAATAAATTTGAATCTGTTATTGTGTTAAAAGGCCATTTGTGGTTTAAAAGTAAAGTGTTTTATCTTATTTTGTCGGGATATTAATCCGCTGAAAGCTAAAAGACGGTTTAAATTCGTTTCATTTATTTAGATTTGATTTCTGCCTGTGTTCAATAGGCTGGTAGTAGAATATCAAGATAGAAATAAAGTCGATGTTATTGAGTATAAGACGCCACGAAGTAACAAATATATTGAAAAGTAGAGGCTAAAAATCACGATTTTCCGGCGCTAATGAGTGTTTGGCATTGCAGACGACTATAAGCTACTCAGTTTCACCTTTTCTTTAAATCCCGAAATACAATAAAGTTTCTAATCGCCTTTCAGACTGCTACAATCTTATAGACTCTATTTTAATGGTAGTGTTAAAAGTCAAGAAAATTAACAATAAATACCTTAAATTCAGATTTATTGACAAATTTGGTTTCGTTGCTCATTTTATTCAAAGAATACGAATGTAATGATTGCGTAGGTTAAGCCTCTCAGTGGGGAGTTCGACACAATTTCAACATATTTGTTTTACAAGTAGAAATTCAGCACACACCGGAATGGTATTTTTAGAGGTTAATTTCAGACTGGTAAACGGCTATAACAAGTTTCATTGCTGGAAATTTGGATTTGCCAGGATGTTTACGTGTGAGATATTGCTATGCAAGAATGCTTGAGCTCTAGATACAGCTTTGAATTATTTTGCTAGGGATTTTATATATGATGTGACCACAGTTTATGATGGTATCAATTCTCATCGTTGTGATATTCCACCACGAGAAATCTGAATCAAATGTACTTAGATTATAGTGATCCCTGTTACTAGAGAACCCCACAGTTTGAAAAGATATCCATGGTAGTTATAAGACTGTATCTCTTTTTATCAGGCGGTGAAGTGAATAATTTTGCAAGAGCCATACCATTTAAATATTGCCTTAGGATTAATGATTTTAGTAAATACAAACTAAAAGATATTCTTATTGAAGTTTGAGCGGGGGTTGTGACATCTTCCAAGCGTACTAATATAGAACACAAGAGAGGTTGAATTTCCATGGCATTTCTTGCATGTGTAGGCATATTCCATGCACTATCAATCTTATGCAATGTTAATAATATTAAAAGAAATATTTCTGTGACATGATCGCGAGAAACATGAAGTTCTATCGAAGCCTTTGTTCTATTGATCGACCTTGTCAAGTTACAAATTGAATATGGTTATAAAATTATCACTTGTTATGAGTCATACAATACAAATTGAAGGTATACCTTCTTGTAAATTATTCATTATGTTCTTGTGAACATAGTTATACTCCAATAGTTAGCCGTCCCATTAGTCAAGACAAACATCATAAGTCACTAAAGTTGATGGATGGTATATCAATGGCAATATATTTATGCCATGTAAATAAGGCATTATGCGTACCAATACCTTAAGTCTTTATCCCTCTAGGAATAAGCATACAATACGTATATCAAAAAAATATTATTACCTCAACGGAGGCGATGCAGTGTTGATATGCACAGATGCAGTTGAGCATGAGTTGTTTCTCTCCAGAGCGAAACGACAGGTAACATATAACTGACTGCCATCGCTGAGAAATTGGGTTCAGTTATCGGTAATATTTTATTATAAGGTCGACTTCTTTTATATATTGTACCCTAATACTTATCTTCTGTATCACAAGAGACATAAACTGGAAAGTATTGACCCGTACAGAATTAATTTATTCTTTGTAGAAGACATATGAACACATCGTGGCTGCGAGAGAGTAGATCGAAGCCTTGATATCAGATGTTTAACCGGTTTTAATACTGTTGTTGCAGACTTTTTGTCATTTTCGGACTATAGACTTTTGACGATGGCTTTAACCTTGCTTATATGGTGATATAATGTGTACTCATTGACTTATGGTGCATTATTTCATATTTCTATAGTCCTTTGGAATTGGATGTCTATACTGCCAATGTCACTAATTAATCCTTTTGAAAAACCATTTTTTTAAAAAAAATATGAGAATGGTCATTTGAAAGTTGTAAATTACGAAGCGTATTTCAGAAGAGTGTACTTCTCCCTTCATTATTTGACTAATTGACACGTCAACACCAATATTTCATAAGCTCTTAACTACTGTCATAAATTCCTGTTCTGGATGGTTAGAACTCACTCTCAACTATTCAAGTGTTACCGTATGAAATATGACATTAATTCCGATAACTAAGTGTAATGCATCATTTATGAAGGTATCTTGCTGTCTTCGAATCTGTCAATGTCAATGTGATCACGAGTTTGATGTGCTATTACTGTTTCGATGATATTAATGAGACAGTAATGATAGAAAAAAAAAATAATAAAGCGTTCCAAATGTTATATTTTCATCAAGAAAAGATTGACCTTAGTTCTTTAGCTAATTAATTTCCCAGAAACATCCTAACATGTATATTGTATGCTTTTTTAGCATATAACAGCATCTGTAACACATGTAATTCAGCATTCAACTGAAACGTAAACCATGAAATTGTAATGTGAAAGCGTGTACATCTTTACTCAGTCATTGCAATAAAATTGTATTACAATATAATCCAAAAGTACTACAACTGATGAGGTCGGTGTAACGTTTTGGAACACTCATAAGAGTGTTTTGTTTATATAAAATCATTATCATTGAAAAAGATAGTCTTCAACTGTTTCATTTTTGTTTTCGTTATAATCCAACTCTAAAAGCGATGTTTTATATATTTCTTTTCTAAAGCTATTTGAACTGATGTTTAAGTGGTCCATTATAAACCTGACATAATTTCCATGAATATTTTAAAAACTTGCTCTTTTTAAATACTTTTAATTATATAAGCTGTCACATCTTCACTATATTTTACAGTGTTGTACAATATTTTTTTAGGGGAATAAATATCGGCGACTTCAAGCATTCATATGATACAATTTTATCTTTGTTGGGGCATTCGTTGCTAATACACCATAGCATAAAGACATGTGACGAGCTATAATTATCTATCCGCGCGAATAGGTAATAAAATTCAGTAAATAATTCTAAAATTTGAAATAAAGGAACTGAAATTCAAACAAAAATAGTAATTTTGCTTCAAATGAAATTATGTAAAATTGATACGTGGTTGCTTCTAAACATCAAATTCAGAAACGCCTTTCTGATGAATATCTTAATATTTTTGGTAGATAAAGAACAAATAAATCGATTTTATCACAAATAAATGTTGATAATTGTTTCTTAGCATTGGCTTATACCACAATCACATGCCGGTCAAACCTTTTCAGCCGAAATGCTCTTAATGTCCTTCTCGTAAAAACTTAACACACATTTTCAAACTTTACACCTTCATATCCAATTGAGATCTTATTTCACTTGTCTGTTGGGTTTTATTTTTAACAGAATACAGTGTACTTACCGAGTTTTTTTTAAGTAAAATCTCTTGACAGCCGTGCCTTAAGTGAACGAATAACGTCGTTTATTTTTCAGGTTACGTGGCAGAGAGTAGGTGAAGATTTTTTCACAACAATTGGTCGCTTAACGTGGGTGAAAAAAGACAACATTATGATCGGTTACAACCAGAAAACACCTGAAATCTCCGACTGGAATCTATTAATTAAAAATGTGAAACCGGAAGATGCAGGGCTCTATGAGTGTCAAATTACCGCCACAGAAATAATGAAAAGAACAGTTCAGTTAAACGTTATAGGTGGGTTTTGATTTCTAATTTTTCAGTTGTGTCTTCTTTCCAAATGTACCACTATTCACTTGGCGCGTTGCTCAAGGCTTTAGCTCGAATATTCAGCTGCGCTGTTGCGGTGAACTGAAACCAGTTGATTCATTTGGTGAAGGACATACCTACCCTTTTGCTTTCAGTCACTTGTATTAGAAGACCTGAATATACGTTTGGATTTGAAAACTTTGCTCTTGGTTACTGGTCAAGTATGCCGCAGAAGCCCTATTTTCAGAGATCCTTCATATTTTCAGTGCATTCTATAAACATTTTGTTCCTGTTTTAAGTCACATGATGTCACACGTGCAACCTATGATTTGTTATTATGTAATAGTACTTCAAAAGAAGCTTGCATCTTGCATCTAATATCCCTTCTTGTGGTGAAAATATTTATTGTGGTGAAAATCTCTATTGTGGTAACAACCCCAATTGTATTATTGTATTAAAACAATCGTGTTAACAACTCCCATTCTAGTAAGAACTTGTACTGTGGGAACTTTTCCAAAACGATGTGCCACGACTTCCATTGAGTTAAATTTGCTCACAGATCATTCTCGCAGTACAATGGTCAAAGGTCTGTGTGATTTTCGGATAGATACAATGCTACAATACATTGAACCAAATCCCTTTCAAAGATGCAAGCTTCTTGACCTATGCCTTTTAAATGTGTTCGAAACTTTTCTAATTTGTTCTTTTTATTTCATCACTCTATCAAGGCCCTCCTCTTCACAAGCCGGGTAAGTGCTCTCATGCTGTTTCCTTTCCTAAATACAATCCTCTAATAATTTGCTTTAATACGTTTGGTTATGTGCATGCGTTTGACTAACCGTATCCTGTCTCACAATGAAAATATGAAATTCCAAATTTATATACGTAACGGTGGTGGCTACATAAAATTGTTTTTAATAGGTCTGGTCGATTCATTAACAATTAAAGCATGGATTGGAGGATTGCGTCACTTTAATACAATGCTCACGCAATCTGCATGTTACACGTAGTTGGTACAAGTGTATTTTCTGATAATTATGGCGCCGAACAGATTAGTTCTTGAGCAAACAAATTAATTAGCTTCTTTATTGTATTACTATGGCTATATCGGATGTTTTTCACGAAACGAAAGGAAGTTACAGAAGAACATTCTAGCGTGCTTACCTGCGATAGGAAATCACACAATGCTTTTAGTGCATTTCCTTCTTTTGGTTTGTGTTTATACTTTTATTTATGATCCCACTGTGTCTTGGTTCAAGCGCAATGTTTTCGGTTCCACGTGCAGTCAAAATCATTGACTTTCTCCGATGAAGGCGTATTTGTGTAATACCATAATCTGTGCTTTTTGACTCATACCAGTTGAAATTTCCTCAACTACCATACATATTGTAATGAATTGAATACACATATATGCACAAAACACACAAATATTAAACAGAACCCAGAGGTATCGGATGAAAAAAAGGCCTACCCTCTTGGAGTGTAACCTCATTTTCGATAATATTCCAATTCCATACAGACATTTATTTTCTATTTCCAGGTATTTCTGTGAAAGGTAAAGAATATGTGGAACATGGAGATTCTATAGTGTTAGAGTGTAATGCAACGGGTGGACCTCATATACCAGAAGATATAGACTGGTTTAAAAACGGGGACAAAATAGACTCCCACAAATATCATAATATTATAGTGACAAAATTTCGTTCATTAGAAAATCGAGCGCTTATTAGTAGGTTAATTATAGACAGGAGTACTAAAGAGGATACTGGTACTTATATTTGTAGAAGTTCTTTAGATGAAATTAATAAAAAGACAGTTACTGTGTTAGTAGGTAAGTAAAGTATCCAAACCTAGACACGAAAGTTTGTTCAAAGTATTCACCTTTAGGATTTTAACGCAAATTTGGCAGACCAAACGCTCTTGACAGTCTCCAAAATGGCTTCAGTAAAAATATATATTATCATTAATGACAACAATTTCCTCGGTACCTCGACAACCTTCAATGAGTATTCGGAGGTTTGTAAAATATATCTACATGACCGATGTCACTTCCGCTTTTGCATCCACAGACCGTATGTGGCTTCTTTGTGTTATAAAGTGTCCAAATAAAGATTGGGGTATATATAAGTCATTCCGAAAGGGTTTGAGTGTATACACCCAGTAGCAGAGTTTTCACTGCATCCGTAGCGACTCTTGCCAGTAGCATATAAGCAAAACGGCATAGTTAATATTTGAAGTCTTTAATGCCCTTAAAGCATTTGAGTAATAAGAAACGCGTGATTGCCCTTTGATTTGACTGAATAATCACTCTAATCTATCATTCTATTACTTGTTCCTTTCAGCTGATTCTTCTAATGTTAAAAGAGGTAAGAATTCTTTAAGGTTTTCTTATATGTATCATCAACTATAGGATCCAAAGAGAGCATGCTCATTATAAATTCTCTTATGTCTGTAACGGTAGCTTTAATTTAGTTAATTACTTTTAAAGTAAGATTTATTATATGTCTGAATTTGTACAAGGGGCGGCTTTGTCTAATTACGGCAGTAATGTGTATGTTCAGTCACATATGTCTACCTCAGAAGCTTTAAAAGATGTGATACCAGAATATGCAGTCATTTATGTCTACCATGGTAGCTTTAATATATGTGATTATCGCCGTGTGCTGTAATATAAGACTACCATTAGCATGGTAGCTTTAACATCTGATATTACCGCTATGTGCAGTTAAATATGTCTAACTGTAGCGTGGTAGCTTTAATATGGGTAATTACCACCATGAGCAGGCATATAGTTCTACTATGGTAGCTTTCATATGTGTGATCAGCGCTATGTGCAGTTATGTATGTCAACAATGGTAGCTTTAATATAATTATGTGATTACCACTATATGTCTACATGGTAGCTTCAATATGTGTGACTACTGCATTGCAGTATAATTATGTCTACCATGACAGCTATAATATATATAATTACCGCCACGAGCAGGTATATTATGTCTACCATGGCTGTGGTTTATAAACTGAAAGTCCCAGTTCCTGCAAATGGCGTGTCTAATTTACTGGTAAATGGCCAGGTATATTATAAACGGTTTATAATAATTAAGGCAGAACTATTACATTATATGTATACCCTTTGATATAAAACAGACGTTAATAATATTCTATCTTTATATTAGTCGTATCCTAGTCCGAGAAACTATCAAGCTATTATATATTCCAACCAGTATAAGACTGTTCCTCATCAAACCATAAAAAAAAGACGTCAAGGAGAAAATTTGGTCTGAACATTACCATTTTTATGTGGTTTTTGATTTATTCACCGTGTAAATATGTTAAATATCTAGTACATTTAAAGTCATTGAAAGGATGTGCAAGTTATCTCATCTTTTATGATACACTGCTCACAAGCAATGCGCACCACTTTTCAACAAGTAATTCATCCTACGCGATTCACACACCTGTAACTGTTGCACCTACGCGTAACTTCCTCTTCCACTTTGAATCCAGAAAGGAACACTGTCTGATATCATGGCCAATCTTATTGACAGATCTTATATGGATTGTGTATTTACAATATAGTTACTCGGACTATGACAAGTTTTCTCATCTAGTTTTCATGTGATGATTAGTTCTGTTCGAAACAATCTCTCCTATTTCTTTTATCTCAGATTGTATTGCATGTTTCTTGCTAATTTAGTTCTTCTAACATCGTTAGCCGATTTGAGAATGTCGAAAAGTCAAATATCTTATATTCATGTGCTTGTCATGTGCATGCGAAAGTATATTGTGGGCAGGTGCTTTTTCTCAATTGATGAAAGGTACCTTCGTCGCTTTGAAATGCATTTGAAATACACCTTTTTCTGATCGACTTCAAAAAGATCAATGGCTGGAAAATCTCGGTAATCCGCACAAATGTAGTAAGAGCTCAAAGCTATTAGACTCGATTATCTTTCTTTTACCATTATCTCTCCCATATTTATTCTTTTGTTACCTTCCAGTTCATTGTATTTCAAATTCAACTTCATTGTATCTAGTTTTGTACTGTACTTTTCAACCAACCGTTGTATGTTATGTTTGTACTCGACTTCTATAACTAACCCTTGCATCATGTGTATTTAACCATATGTATCTAACTATGTGAATCCTAAATGTATCTTACTATAAGCATTTAACTATGTATCTAATAGTAACATTTTTCTGACCTAATTGCAGAACCTGGCCGGTCGAAATCAGGGTCATCTCGAACACACAGACATCCTGAACAGAGTTAGTTAACTTTCATATTTTTCTTACTGGAGACTTCCTTCGTTTTCCATCATCCTCGTTTAACATGGGCCAATTTCTTAAAAACATGGTTTGGTTTGAAAGCAACTCATAAGAAGGGCAAATGTAGAATACATATTGTAAAATTTGCCCTTTACCTTACAACAATGTTACCAAACTGGCAATGTTTGTCTCCTGGAATAAAAATTCAGGCGGGAACAAAATTGTATCATATCTTCCAGTAGAGCATATTCTAATGCAATTATACATCCTTAGTAGATTAAAGGGTTTTAAGATCGGAGACAAAAACCTCTCGTCTACTGCATTGGCTTTTTCCAAGATAATTAATATGTGGATTAATCACATATAATAATTTACCATATTGGAAACATTACTGATATTCTTGATGGCCTTGTAGGACATAAATCAAAATTTATCAATAATATATTAACATTTCCTTGTAAATCTAACGAAATTTGTTTATGTCTTGAGTTTGAGATATGGAATCTATGCAATCTAACAAGGCATCATCGAGTCGATCAAGTCGTCTGTAGGACGAGAGATAGAAAACTGATGGAAAACGAAAGAAGATATCTGTACATGTTGATCTAACCTCATTTGTTAAACTTATCTTAGGTAACATGCGGAAGTAGTCTGTAAAATGTTTCAAATGTTATCACTGATTGAAACCAAACAGATTTAATCAGTTCCAAATATCTGACATTCTGGCCCATCTTTCTTTCATTTCATCACGTGTTATTTTACGAGATTCTCTGAGATCGGGGCTTAGTCTAGTCTAGAGAAGATCCTCTGTTTCCAGAATGTTCTATTAATCGCACGTGAATGTCGGCATGGGTTTGTTTATGAAATGAAATAATTTCGGCTATTTGAATGAAGATACTGATTTTTTAGTCGAGTGGTAGCGAGTGCTTTTTGATAACATTTTAAGATGGCATGAATAGATTTGGTCAAAAGGCTGCGAGTCAATTGCATCTTGACTAAATATTCTTCACAATCACCTGCAAGAGTCAACTTTCTTGTATTACGGAATGTAGCGATTTGATGCTTGACGGGATTGTACGTTATCGAATACAGTCAATCAGAGTCTCGACAGGAAGTCTGTAAATAATAAACCTTAATGTCTACAGTCTTTCTGTCGAGAGCTTTGATTGGCTGTATTAACTGGCGTACAATCCAATCAAATCGTTGCACTCTGTAATACAAGAAAGGTGTCTACTGCAGTCAAGGTATAAGACGAGGTTTGAAATAGCCTGACTTTATGAAGACGGACTAAAAATGCCCAATTCTTTTACGCGAAATACGAAATAACATCTTTTCTGTTAAAAAACATATCATCAGACAGTAATGTGAGAATAGGAATTTTTTGACAGAAATTAATGAATTCCTTGTGTTCTTTTTTATTTTCAGGAACTGCCAATACAAACAGCGCCATCTCACAAACTTCCACAATAATTGGCTACCTTTGCGTATTGCTGACGTCATCGGGATATCTGTATAGTGGGTCGTGATAATCATTCATGGTGTTCGATGATGTGCCTTCAACTATAAATAGGGTCAAGACCTGACAAACCAGTCTTTAAATGGGCTACGATGCTATACTGGAAAAACAAGTCTAGGCGGAAGTGAATGTGTCTATCAGTACGCATGCGTAAATCTGTAGTAGAGTTTTTTAGAGAACAAATGGAAAGATGTTGTATGTTTGTGCAAAGAATTTTGTTGTTAATTCTGATTAAAATATATCAGAAATATATACATGAAACGTAACTTTTGAAAATGAAGACGGGTATTGAATTGACAAAAATTGTTTTTATTTTACGTTTGTGGAAAGAAGAAGATTCAGGCCTGCTAAATTACTATCAATGGAGTTGCGGAAACCCTGCACATTGCGATTTTCTTTTATAACAACCGTTGCGTGTAAAACAAACCTGTCGGACATTTGTAAAAATTCTTCAAGTGTAATGAATGAACCACACACGACGGAATGATGAACCCTTTTCTGTATACAATAGATGAACCATACACGTAATGATGAACTTTTCTCTGCGTCCAAAGAATGAGCCATACACATAATGATGAACTCAAAGCACACACGATGTAATGACGAACTCCATTTGCGTGTGAAGGATGATCTATAAATGTTACGTACGATTTCGGTTTTACACACAGAGTGAACGCTGTTTCACGAATATCCAAGCATGCAATGGACGAATCTTTTCTATTTACAATGGATTTGTCATTAATGTAATGAATGATCAGCATTACAAACAATTAAACGTAATATTGTGTGGACAATGGCCCATGCTTCTCGTGACTCACTTAAGCATGTCAACTGTCACGAACAAAAGTCCTAGTTGAAGTAATGGTCACCTTTTTCTTGGTTATTTTACATCACAGGCATTAACATAAAATAAACCATATACTGAAAGAATGCTTCTCTTGAACATGCGACTTGTGTACTTAAAGAGCATTGGGACTCAATGAGCATTGAACAGGCTCTAAATATATTTGTAGGTTGTGATAGCTTTGATGGATGCATAAATCATGTAAATGTTAATTTATTTGTATGTACATATTGTAACATTGAATTAATTGTTGAAAATACATATTGTGTAGAAATAATAACTGAATTTTAACTAATGATATGATACGACTGACTTGGCTGTTACCTTTAGCCAACTATACCGTCATACATACAAAATGAACCATAGTAAACAAAGTACATGACATGTATTGGAAAAGTTTAGAATTTTGGTTGGAAAATGTGAACATGTTAGAACATATTACAGCTGTTACTCAGAAGTACACATGGCTCGGACCTTATTCTTAACTTAACTTCAGATGATTTTTGTGTTCCAGACATCTACTTGGACAGCAATTAAAATTATTGTTAAGTTAAGTTTCATTATCCAATCAGATTACTGTATTACTTTTCATCTGATTTTTGAGAATAAGAATCATGGGCAACCCTTTGGTTCCGCGAAGTAAGTGATGCCACTTCCCGTTAATACTTATAATGCATAGATTATGTAAACCTAGTGTAGGTATTATATTGTATAACAAATAACAAATAACAAATAACAAAAGTACTTTTGTTGTTGTTGAAATATTCAAATACGTTAAAAGATAATAAGTCACAGCCTGTATCACATTAGTCGGAAACAACAAACTGAATTTTAATTGAATTCATTTGCTAAGACTGAAGGATCTTGAAAGAAAATAGTTATGAATTTATGATGAACTTTATTTCATTTTTCTTCAGTTGGTTGAGTAAAAACAATGGGAAGAATTGGAATTCATTGTTAACAGCCGGTGATGATGTGCTTTCAACTGTTAAAGAGAAACATTTTGAACAGTCTGAACGCTTCTTTGCATACATAATAAACAAAATTAACCTAGATTGTCCTAGATTATGATATGAAATCATAATACTCCTCCGTTGAAGCTTTTAAGTCATAAGTCTTTCATTCTCGTTTGCATCTTCCTTGAGTTAACTCATAGACAATGACTCCATTGGATGGAAACTTCACTATTTATATAGATTGCATTGGTAGCTTTTCTATTTCGCACTGCAGCTATATTGTATAATAATGTATAATATACAACCACAATGCAAACAATGCTGATACTGCTATTGAGACATTATAATGATTCTATCCTGGGATTAGTGATTCTGTTCCATTCAGCATGCAAAGATATGACTTTTTCTTAAACAAGGTCGTAGAAATGACGTGTGTCGGTAAACACGCCATCAATACAAAAGTTCCAAACTACTTCATTAATGCGTATCACATACCAAATGTTATTAGGCATTGAAATAGTTGCTCAGTAAACAAAAAATCGGAGACAATTGACAATTGTTCCCATGTTCTTCGAGCGAAATGACAAAGCCTCGATTTAAAAAAGAAATAACATCACACTGTCATGTTCCATTTAAAAAAACAAGCTTTATTGTGATTAGATTTTTTAAATTGTGAAAACATTTCTTTAAAAATTGAAGCAACACATTAAACACAATTTTCTTGCCATTTAAGATATTACTTTTTCTCTTAAATCTTTCGCTTTCTAGTTGCCCCACTGTCTGACCTAAGTACAGAAAAGAAACTCCAGATGGAATTAGACGAACGTAAAGACGATCTTAAATGATTAGCCATGTCTTTATAGTCGAAAACTTTCTCATTTCTTTGACTTCATCAAATATAATAGCATTTCTCCAACAACAATTGTGTATAGTCGTTTGGAACTTTATCAGATCAGACGTTTCTTAATCTTTCAGTTTCAAATTATTTCTTTCATTTTCTAAAACGTCTCATAGGGCACCTGCGTGATGATTTTCATATAAATGTTCCGTTTTAGGTATCATTATACATGAACCATGAAATATTTTAACCTGGGAAGATACTGATCTTCTTTTGATAGCAAAATCACACCTTCCGAAGAACTTCCTTTCCAACTGGGAAATGATCAAAACGCCTCGATTTTAAGGTCTAATATAAATGTTTCTATTATGATTATTTCGTAGAGTTTGCCTGTCAACTCCAGCTTATATTTTTTATAAGTTCATCATTGTATATTAACAAGAATTAATAATTGCGCGGTTCTATAGCACAGTCGGTTAGAGCATTCATTCTTACATGACGTCATTTACTTGGTAACTTCGAGCGCATAGGGACTGTGGGTTCCGATCTCGATCGGCGTGTGAAAGTCCGATGACCATGAATAAGTCATCTTCACTCAAAATTCCGGCTTTAACTGTGAACCTAAGTCGTTATCCTTGTAAAATATAGTTGTTTTTTTCTTTATTTATTCTATGCAAAGAATTATGAGAAGATATGTTTATCATTTGTCATGTTTTTGGAATAAAAAATAACGCAAATTGTGCTGGAAAACACTTTCACATAAAACATCAGAAACCTCTTGACAATCCCTTCAACAAACAATGATCATATAAATATGAAAATGTAATTCCGTAGCGAGACAGCAAATGAGG